GGCTCCGAGCGGCCTGGGAGCTGCTGCGGGTTGGCGCTCCCATCTGGAACGCTCTCGCAGAATTGTTAGAGATGGAAGGGATCTCTGGAGATTATCCAGGCCCAGCCCCCTGCCAAGGCAGGGTCACCACGAACAGTGCTGCATTAACGCGTCCAGGTGGGTTTGGAATTCCTGCAGAGAGGGAGACTCCCCCGACCTCCCTGGTCAGCCAGTTCCAGTGCTCTGCCCCCTCAGTGTAGAGAAGTTCTTCCCCATGTTGAGGTGAAACGTCCTGTGTTTTAGTTTATGGCCATTGGTCTCTGTCCTGTCTCTGGCGCCATCCTCTTGGCATCCACATCTGAGTTATTTATATGCGCATTTGAGTTATTTATATGCACTAATGAGATCCTCTCTTAGGCCCAGCTCCCATAGTCTCTCCTTAAAAGAGACCCCTGAAGGGCCTCCACTGACCCTTTCCAGCAGCTCCTTGGCTTCCTTGTACCGAGGAACCCAGAAACGAGCACAGAACTCCACTCTCGTCTGGCAAGGATACAGTGCTCCCTGGCGGTGCCCACTCTTCCAGCACCACTGGGCATCTCCACAAGCAGGCAGCCACTAAAAACCCACTTTTCTCCCTTTTCTGAGGCTCACTGCACTCCCTGCCATCATTCAAAATAAGGCTGTAGCAAAGCAATAAAGATCAGTGATTTTTAGTGGGAGCTGCCCCCAGCTTGCTCCAAATACTCCTTAGCAGAGGAGCCCATCCAATTCAATCCTTGAAACTCTTTCCAGCTTCTTGAGAAGTTACACCTGCACACAGCTGAAGAGACATGGTGTAACATTTTACATTCGTACTCTTTCAATTTTCTTTTTCTCCTAACAAGGGAGAGATGAAAGGCAACGGATGCTCTGTTGCTACAGCAGGGTGAAAGATCATCTCATGTAACATCATCTGCCAAAACCACAGCTTTTGTTCCTCCACCAAGGTCGAAATGAAGCAAGAATAAATCTAAATTGCAGATCAGGACCTCTGTTACAGGGAATAAAACCAAGCTGATTCAACAAGTCTAATGTAGATCTACAGGGGAGAGCAGCTGTGCTCTTCAAGACTAATTTAAAACTAACAGGAGTTTCCTTTGCTGCTAAAAAAACAAGCAGTTTGCTTTTATGTTGTGAGAGTTCTTCTTTAACCAAGTCCCAAAGGACTTTTGGCAACTGTGCCACGAAGTCAGCTGGAGCAAGGGAAGTGTAGTGCCAAATGGATCTATATATGGAAAAATGTTGCAATATTGAGTACTCCTTAAATGCTTAAAGACCAAATGGAAACAGGACCCCTGCTGTGGGTAGGGAATTGTTATTTGGACAAGAATCTAATTTAAAAACCAAAACCACAAGTTCTCCATTAATCATGCTCGCAGACCTCAAAACAAAATTTTAAAAAGTTTGTAGCATACTTCCATTACTGAGATTTTTACTAGAAGTTCATGTTACATGTAAACTGCTTTTTATTTTATGAGCCAAAATAGTACAATGCTATTTTCCGCTATGTTTCTTACCAAGAGCAGCGGTCTTCGGTTGAAGGGCAAAAAATACTATTTCCAAGTTAACACCTCTTTGTAACAATTCATGTGACATGGATACAAATGTGTTTGCACGTCACTAAGTTACAGAACAGAGGTCTTACTACATAGTTTAACATTGGTTTGAACTAGTGCCATTATGAAATCCAGAAGAAAAGCACATAAGGATTTGGGCTATCAAATATGCCCCACTATTTTTGTGGATAGCATTCACAGAATATATAGCACGTTTATTTTCAATAATGTGTTTAATTTGTAATCTTTTTCCCATTAAAATGTATCCTATCTACAGAACAGTTAAACAAAAAACAGTCCCAGACAATGGCTGGTATTGTAAAACCTGTTGCTACACCTTTAAAACCAGCTTAAAGACAGTTATATTAAAACTAATGTCAGCATTTTCTGGTAGTAGAGGGTCTGGTTTTGTTTGTGTTTTTTCTTTGAAATGTTGAATCTTTAAGTGGATAATGGTGCATCATGTCGTTTATATTTCCTGAAAGAAACATGCTTTGATTTCTGAAGAAAATAAAAATGAATTTATTATCATGCTATTTGCACAGAAAGTACTAGAACAGGGTATGGATTAAAAAGCTAACTAGAAAGTGTAAAAACATACATAGCTCAGCTGCCTATGGGTATGCATTGTTCTGTTGAACAACTATGGAATTTAAAAAAAATAACAAAACATATCATTAGATTGACAGATTCTTCTTGTAACACCATCATGTTTCCCCACTGCTGTTTGTAAGCTGCCCAGCCTAGAGCCTGGAAGCTACCAGGAATTATCTTCTAATTAGCAAGACATTTCCCTGTACTTCAGCCTGACATCCTAATCCCAGCACATGTTAAGCACATACAAAGGAAACACATTGCCAGGCACAAGCATTAGGCCTGCAGAACCAAAATACTGGACTTTTAAAACACAAGAAGAAAACCCCACCAAAAGCAAATCCCAGCTCTTTTCAGACTTTAGCAAATAATTCACCATAAGTGATGGCCACAAGGATGTGTGCCAGAGCATCCAGGGTCAAAAGGTGTGTCTTTAACTGAGACTGGTAACTTTCCAGTACCAAATACATTCCAGTTTCATGACCCATCAGAAAGGTGTGTTAACTGATTCCACTGCTTGTTTTTCAGATTTATGGGAGGACTATGTTTTGCTACAAGAGAGAAAAGTTAAAAATTCTGTCATGAAAAAATATAATTCTATCAGCAATCAAATATAGTTGTTTGGTATAAGTAATATTAAATGATACAACATGAGATTTTCACCTAGAAAATGGTAAACAGAAGATAAAATATTCAGAAATGTTGAGGCCCTAGCTGACAGTGTGAAGCCAGGTAGGATTCAGAGACAGGTTGGATAAAGCCTTGAGCAACCTGGTCTAGTGGGAATTGTCCTGCACATGGCATGGAGGGGTTGGGACTAGAGGATCTTTAAGGTCCATTCCTACCCCTCAGCATACCATGATGGTTCTGTGGTGGTTAAATTAATTCTGATGCATTAGAAGTGTGTGCCTAGAACA